GGATGTGAACGAGTGTATGTTTGCTGGTAAGATGTGCTTGACAGATTGTGGTGTGGAAAATTGTGCACTGATGGTTTTAATTTTATTAATGAAGAATGTGGCAAAGTCGTCATCTGTTAGAGTTGATAAAGGGGGGGGGGAGAGAAGGACAAAGGAGGGAGGAAAATGTTTTAAAGAGCTTGCGAGAGTTAGACGAATTATTAATTTTGTTATGATAGTATGTCCTTTTAGTAGTGGAGACATTAGCGGAGAAGGAAGAGAGGAGTGACTGATACACATTAAGGTCAGTAGGATTTTTTGATTTGCGCCATACCCTTTCAGCAGCTCTGAGCTTAGAATGATGTTCGCGGAGAATATCAGACAGCCAAGGGGCAGAAGGGGCGATACGGGCTGGCCTGGAAGACAAGGGGCAGACAGTGTCTAAGCACTAGGGCTGCCCTCGACTAAAGATTTTTCTGCTCGACCAGTAGTCGTTCATTTTAAGCATTAGTCGACTATTAGTCACACTTTTATTAATAAACCATATAAATCATAATAATGAGCCTTTAATTGAGAACATCAGACAGCCAAGGGGCAGAAGGGGTGGTACGGGCTGGCCTGGAAGACAAGGGGCAGACAGTGTCTAAACAAGATGTAAGAGTGGAGCAGAAGTATCAGTAGCACTGTTAGCATCAAGAGATGATAACTGTTTAAGGGGTGGAAGCAAAGATGAAACCATAGCAGATAGCCGGGTGGGTGTGAGTGTGCGTAGGTTACGTCGCACGGTGGAGGGGTATGTGTTGTGTCAGGAACCATGTTGAGGTTAAGAGTGAGGAGGAAGTGATCCGAGGTGTGCAGTGGAGTAACTAAATAAGGTCCAGTTGGTCCAGTTGGTTGCCTGATTTGTGAGTAGTCTTAGTTAACAGTCTCTTGAGATCAAAAGAGGCAAGCAGAATGTGGAAGTCTGCAGCCTGAGGTTTTCCTAGCAACGACAACTGCGCTAAACACTGAGACAAGAAATAAATACACTTACGAACTGCTTTTAACTTCCACTGATTGACTGCTTCTCTCAAATAGTATTTCTTTACACTGTTTTGCTAGCGCCTGTATGGAAGAAAAAGAATGAGAAATGTCTTTGAAACAAAAAAGCATGTTGAATTGCACTAACTGAAAAAATTATGCATTGCATTAACAGGGCTTGCATTTTTAGGGTCTGACATTTAACATAGTTGTTTATTTAAACTGTGAATATTTCAATTCAAAACATTTCACGCACATTTTCATAATTAAAAATCCAATAATTTATATTCACCTTCCAGAGTTCCCTTCTGAAATATTCAATCTGTTTAAAAATACGATGTATAATATTCGACAGGCAATTTTCAGTCCATTTTATTTCACTTTACAAATTCGCTTCCACAAATTCAGTGGTTCAAATTTGGCAGAAAATTCAGCATTGCACATCCGGGAACTGTAGGAATAGCAGTAGAGTACCAATGCACGATCTGCATCTGCTGTTAGTCGCTCACCAGCAGGTGGCGTAAGACCAAAGCAACAGGTAGAGCAAGTCATTCATTCACAGAAACTGATCTGCAAAAAAAATTGAGCAAGCGGTAGAAGTTATGATTATCAGGGCTAGTAGGTAAATAAAAATACATTGGACGTTTTAACCTAGTGAGTGGATTGTCAGACAGTCCCTCATTCACCGTGTGATAACATGTTTTCTCCGGTTAAAATTTGCTGCTACAATACACGTGTCGGTCAGTCCTGTGTTCCGTGTCTTGTGTTTTCCTCCACCACATGCTTTCCATGACCCAGTTTTCCCTCATGTGCAATTATGTTATTGCTCCCAGGTGTATCTCGTCATCCCCTCGTCATGTCATGTGTATTTAAAATGTTTCCTGTTCTGAGTTTGCTGTCCGGTATTGAATGTCATCTTTCCCCGCTACGTGTGTGTTCCTGGTTCCCTTAATGTCATTAAAGTCTCTTTGTTCGAAGTATACCCCACGTCTCCTCGTTCCTCGCTCCGCACTCCCTCACAGTAGCGAACATGACAGATGTTGTGTTATTTAATGAATGCAGATTTATATAGTGTTTGCATCCATGCATTTTGATGCAGTTTGAGGAATACAGAACCTGTGTTTGTAATTATGCAATTATGGAGACCGCTGCTCGTTTCTCCGCCCTAGCCCGCAGAGATCTCCCCTTCTTTGAGTACGCCTGGGAATTCTGCGGGCTCGCCGTGGCGACAGCGTTGGACGACGCTACCATCAACTCGCTGTTCTGGATCGGGGCAAATTACTACCGCCCCGTTGACCTCCCAGACACCACAGGACTAAGCTGGAGGGAAGGGATCCTCCGGTGTCTGGAGCGTTTCCGGCCCCGATCCAGAACCAGTCCTCAGTCAAGCCCGACGGCCGTTCCCAAGTCAAGGCCGCCGACGGCAGCACTCTCAAGCCCACCGGTCGCGACGATGTCAAGCCCGCCGCCCGTGCCGTTATCAAGCCCACCGGCTACACCGTTCATCCTAAACCAAAGGAGGAGGATGAGGAGGGAAAGACTGTTCTCAGCCCTCATCCTAGCCCCTGAGCCAGCTCCAGTGTTGGCTCCAGCCCCTGAGCCAGCTCCAGAGAGGGCTCCAGTCCCTGAGTTTAGCCCAGAGAGAACCCCAGTCCCCAAGTTTAGCCCAGAGAGGGCTCCAGTCCCCGAGTTTAGCCCAGAGAGGGCTCCAGTCCACAAGTTTAGCCCAGAGAGGGCTCCAGTCCTCGAGTTTAGACCAGAGAGGTTTCCAGTCCCCGAGTTTAGCCCAGAGAAGGGTTCCAGTCCCCGAGTTTAGCCCAGAGAGGGCTCCTGTCCCTGAGTCTGGCCCAGAGAGTGCTCCAGTTCCCACGTCCAACCCAAGGAGGGCTCCAGTTCCCACGTCCAGCCCAAGGAGGGCTCCAGTCATGGCCTCCTGAACTGTCTGCTCCGCCATGGCCCCCTGAGCGCCCTACTCCACCATGGCCTCCTGAACTATCTGCTCCGCCATGGCCTCCTGAACTGTCTGCTCCGCCATGGCGCCCCAAGCTCCCTGTTCCGCCATGTCACCCTGAACTTCCTGATCCGGAACAGGTACCGCTCTGGAGGCCTGCCGTTCCGTGTCTGTCCTGAGGGATCTCTAGAGTGCCCACCCCCCCTCCACATTGGATGTTGTGGGGTGCGTGGACGCACCAAAGGGAGGGAGGGAAGGAGGGCCGGCGGGCGGGCGGGCGGAAATTCAG